TTATATCGAGTGCATCGTGGAAATTTCATGTGAATTTTCGCCTTTTTCTCCCTAAATCAGATCTAAAACCATTCAATGAATTTGAAATTATGTTTAATAAAGGTTTTTCAAGCATAATCTGTAGTTTTTTGACAAATTATAAGGGCTTAAATTTGAAATATCAACAAACTTATATTTGATATATTTGTAGAAGTTAGCGGTCAKAATTTCTTCAATTGACTGTAAGTTATATAGTTGATTTTATTAATGTTTCTCAGAAAATTTCCGAGCCTTGTGCACTGGAGAGAAAGGATTTGGATACAAAGGGTCTTCATTCCACCGTGTTATTCCTGGCTTTATGTGTCAGGTGAGGACTCAAAATACTTGTACAAACAATACATAGCTAACAAAATAGTACAATTCTAGCCAATCAGAGAATGTAATGCCTTAGAATTCAGAACTTATCAAAATGAAACATTGTTGTACTTCAACTTCTCTTAATATTCAACCGTGTCATTCGTGTTTTCATGTTTCAGGTACTTAATTAGAGTCATTTTCATCTGACTGTGAAATAGGAATTGTACTATTAAATACTATTACCCCCTATTAGCTCCCAATAGTTTAACTTATGACATGCGACAAACTAATTAGGAAAAAATGGGTTTGATTTTGCCTTTTGGTAGCCTATTACACCCTAATAGTTACTATTAAACACCGACTAGTAGTAATTGTTTCACAGACGGATGAAAATGACTCTGTATGTTGAATAAATTGTCATGCTTGTGGACAAGATCAGTTTTATTCACCTTTAGTTGTCCCTTGTAATCTGGCTGATAATGCTAGAGCAAACACAGGAAAACCATGAAATAAAATCAAACTAYWGTAAATACTAACAAATAGCGACTATTTAGAGACAAATTGTCAGTATCAATSAACCAGAACGCAATAAAGATGAATGAAAAATGGTCCCTTGTGGTATCGTCGTTGTGTTCTGGTTCATTGATACTGACAARTTGTCTCTAAATAGCCACTATTTGTTAGCATATTGATTTTATTTCATGGTTTTCCTGCATTTGCTCTGGTTGCCCTTTTAATACAATTATTACTTCATTATACACTTACCTGTAACCTCCTGAGAATGCTGAATTTAGTTGCATAAGGGCTTTTTGTGAAAAAAAAACACTAGACAGCTGGAGCAGCAAAAGTAGTTGGAAGTTCTATTTCATCAAGTAATCAGTCATTCACTAAGGAATAACTGCTGATTTTTCTACAACTGAGAACCTTGTAGGCTATTTTAAATAATGACCTCATAGCAGCAGCAGATAGTGAACCCTTTTTTATTCCAGAATATTTTTTGTGATGTTTTTATGAGAATTTAAAGATAAAGGGATGGCAGAAAATTTGTTRATTTTGGAATTTTGATTTTTGGCCTTAAAGTGCCTATGACGGCTGACAAAATAATTTCCAATTCTCTGTGAGCTGATTCTATATAAAGTAAATAATTGAATGGTGAAATATTTCTGCATTTCGGTGTTGCGTCTTTGAGTTTTGAAGGTTTGATCTCCCAATATGCTAATGATAATGATGTCAAAGAAGGCTTCATAGATATACTAACTTTGAAACAGTCGCTCAAAAATGTTTTCATGAACGATATCTGGGAAATATGGTTATTCCCCACATACGATAAATTTAATGMCTTTAAACCTTTTTAAGCGACTCCTTCAAAGTTCGCACATAGCATTTAGCTATATATTTTTTAAAATATTTTTTTATTTAATGTTTGCATTAATTTGGCAAAAGATAATAGATAGATAAACTTATGTATTTACAATTATATCATCAAAATTATAAATCTTGGATCTGTCTTCAGGGAGGTGACTTCACACGAGGAAATGGAACTGGTGGAAAGTCAATCTAYGGAGAAAAGTTTGCTGATGAGAACTTCAGCCTGAAGCACACAGGACCAGGTAATATGTGTGAAGTGACAGTACTTACTGTGAGTTTGATGAACACGTTAACGAAACCATCTTTGGTTTAAGTAACAATGCGTGCAAAAAGCAGGCAACTTTCTATTGTTCAATTGCAACTTCCCCACATACAAATGTCTTGGTCTTCACATTTTTAAACCAAAATTTGAATACTCCAATTTCGAGTTCTGGTTTGCTCTGTGTTAGCCTCAAAACCAAGTAACAAATTCTTTTGTTTCATTGATATCCCGAGAAAACGCATGGAATTTTGTGAAGAAAGACAATAAATTTGATTTGAAATCTCACACCTTTACGCTCACAACAAAGAATATTTTGCGCACAAATGAGGTTAACACAGAGCATTCAAGAATTCGAAACTGGAGTATTAACTCTGTTTTGAAACAAAGTTTCTTTTGTATTAAAAGATCTTGTCCAATCATAAGCACTCAAAACAATAGCCAAAAAATTCTTCTAATTTGCTATGTTCCCCGCATAGAATTGCTATTAATATTAAAGCTAAGGAAAGCTTTTATGAAGTCGAAATCAGATATTAAATAAGATATTAAAAAATGCGCTTACTTTTGAAATTATGTCAAATTTTAATGTTTTAACCAATGAGATGGATGGATTATACAATACAAAATGAGCACCTTCGTGCATTGCATTACCGTTTGCTTGCCTGCTTCTTACTCGGACCATTACTTAAATCACAATGTCATTGCCTTGCGATTTTTGAGACACCATTCAATACCCATACTTGGTTTGTCTCAGTCCTAAGAACTTCCTCAGGCCTACATAGTTCTAAAGCTACATTCAGACTGTGGAGGCCCATCCATCACTTGGGCTCAAAGTCTCTTTCACTGTTTAGTCTTAACGCTGAATATATTTTCCAAGAGACTTATCAATACTCATTGAGTTTTGCCTTCAAGCAAACTGACTCGATTATAAATAAGGAATAATGTTTAAAATTTTAATAATGAGGAGTGAATTTTTTGTTAATTTTRATAAATGTATGTACTATAAGTACAATTGGAATATGCAATTCTTTGCACTATGTGTGCCCAATAGAGTACTAAAGTGTGACGTCACAGAAATAGTTCTTTTTTGAATTTTTCGGATTCGTGGACATATCCTTAAAGTGCATGGAAAAAAGTAGCTATCTGCCAAATTTCAGTGTCGAAGTGCCATTTATAGTGGAGATACAAGCGATTTTGTGGTYGGATGATTGTATCTCGGCTACAAATGACACTAAGACACTCATATTTAGCAAGGATGCATTAGAAATGATGCACTTTTAGAATATGGAGGGCAAATTTCAAAACTCAAACATTTTCGTTTTGTGACGTCATCACTTTAGTACTCTATAATTGTCACTGTGTACACTTTGACTGTGTACCTTGAGTACAATTTAGAATTCATAGTCACAAGTAATGATTTGAAAGTTCTTCGTAATTGCACAAGCCAGATAGGGCAAAATGAAAACATGAGTGACTGTTAATTCCAGATTGTACAAGAGGTCGTGGGATTTTCTGTTTATAATACATTCAGTGAAACATAATATTACAAGGAGTACAATTAATCCTGTAATTGTACTCCTATCAACCAATGAAAAAGTATTATTTTGTTGAATGTACTATTATTTTAGTAATAAGCTAATAGAAATCTTCACCAATAGCCGACTTTAGATATTTTGGTTCAGTGACCATGCACAAAARAATTRCAGACGRGGCTCCGGGGAAATAAAGAATAAATCAAGATTATCCATTGATAATTTTATTTTTTTTAATATTGCAAAGAGTTACTTTGAAGTGCACGCTTCAAAATGACCAATCAAAGAGCGTATAATATCGTTTTATTCTTTATTTCCCCGGAGCCTCGTCTGCAATTCTTTTGTGCATGGTCACTGAACCAAAATATCTAAAGTCGGCTATTAGAACATTACGTCAAGGCTCTGGATTGTTTATGTTGTATTTTTTAAAACTTCATTTTTTTTTCTATTTTTTTTTCTATTGTAGGTATCCTTTCCATGGCCAATGCTGGACCAAACACCAATGGTTCGCAGTTTTTCATCTGTACTGCAAAGACAACCTGGCTGGATAACAAGCACGTTGTCTTTGGGTCGGTTGTTGAAGGAATGGATGTTATTMAGAAGATTGAAGGTGTTGGCAGCGATTCAGGAAAAACAAGCAAGAAAGTTGTCATTGATAACTGTGGACAGCTTTGATTTCCCAACCTTGTTTCATGCAATAATAGTCATTTTGTAACAGCCATGATAGATACAGTACTTTTTTTTATTGTATTTGTTTTGACGTATCACTAACTCTTTACTCCTTACTTTTAAGAAATCATTAAGATAAAAAAATCATTGTTACATGTAGTCACAAATATACAAAGTTTTGATGTATATTTTCAAGGCTCGTACAATAATTCGTAAAAGCACTGCTTGCTAAAATAAGATTGTAACGCAGGACACTCAACTTAATGAACTATTAAAAAATGTCAACTAATATAACTATTGTGAACTTGGTTCATATATCAGTGACATTGAACTTGGCTTGAATGCATTCTCATACCCAGACCATTTTTCATCTTCCAACTGAAATTCAGTTTGCTAGAGGCTGGGAGAGTAGGGTCTGGGTACAAGAATGGGCAATAGAATGGGCATGGGTGGTTCAATAAGGAGGGGAGGACTGGGAAATCATTGTTGAAGAGACTTTGACCTTTCCATGGGAGTAGAGGATTTTCCCACCMATTCTTTGTTGACAAGAATAATTGAAAGAAAGTTGTTTTTATGAGTCTATTAGGGAAGTCCGGACCATTTCCATTTATTTAGACCTGGATTCTAGTGTACTAGGAACAGTGACTGTTGATGGTTATACACATGAGCAGTTCCACTGCCAGCACAGGCCTCCACAGTTTGAATCTTGGTCTAAAAGAACCAGGAATGTGCGTCAAATTTTCAAAAAGATCCTGGAAGTCTTGAAAAGAGGATGTGTTTGACTAAGGGGTTGCACAACAATTTTTGGAAAATATAGAGCAATATAGAGCTGGTTTGAATGGTGAAGTTCTTCACATATCGTACATCCTTCCTGCTTACTCATTAGCATTCAGGTCACCCCTGACTAGCAGGCTTGCAGGAATAAAGCTATGTAGGGTTTTGATTGAGGGGGAGACTGAACCACTTTCTTCATGCCAATTGCACTTATGCATAATATAATTATGATGATAACGACGTCATCAGTAAGTCTCATGAATATTCAATAAGATTGAAGGACATAAGAGCCTTCTGTGCGAACATGAGCAGTCGTGTACAAGCACAACCATATATTGAAGTCGTACGACAAAGTCTTCAATGTTGGGGTGCCTTTGTCACCACACGAGGAGTATGGGGTTCCTGTGGATTAGCTAAGCAGCCAGGTCACCAGGTGCAGCCGTGTACAAAGCTTTCAAATTTCTTCAACAAATTTCTTCAAACTCATACCTGCATACCACAACATGTCTCGTCCTAAAGTTTTTTTTGATATGCTTGTYGGAACCGCTAGAGCAGGTCGTATTGTCATGGAGGTAAATAGCTAAAGTATGATTGATTATATATTGTTATGTAAGGAGTTCTCTACTGTGTCACCATGTGCTACAGACAGAGTGGGAAACGGACGGTACTGTACTATCGTACTGTAACCAAATTCTAGTGTCTCATTGGTTCACAAAAACTGTGCAGGCCAGGTCCGGTAACTGTGCGGTAACCGTTCTGTATAGTCTAGTCTAATGTCTACCGTACGTTTCCCACACATACGAAATTGACTCTATGATCGCCTGTGTAGTAAAAACACCTCTTACTATTAAAGCTCTTAAGATAAGATTAAAGATTTCGTATCCATCCATGTATGCACTGTGATCATTTGTTTTTTTCTTTACCAGTTAAGGAAGGACATCGTCCCCAAAACAGCAGGTTAGTTATTTGCACAGCTTTTACATGTACTATTATATTACAACTGTAATCTTATCCTGTAGTATAAATTCGTTGTACAACTGCCCCCGGGGGGGTACTCCCCCCAACTAGGGTGGGGGTGTGCCACTGGGACCTCAAAACCCTGAACCTGTTCCAAAGAGAAATCGCTGAAAACGATACCCTGCTCCAGAGTAAAATCGCTGAAAACGATACACTGTTCTAGAGAAAATCCAGCACTAGCCTGCGTGTAGACCGAGTTTTTACCTTAAATTTTTACCCAGCATCAATAATTCCGGAATTAAACCCTGACCCTGTTCCAGAGAAAATTCTTTGAAATCAATACCCTATTCCAGAGTAAAATGGCTAAAACGATACTCTGTTCCAGAGTAAAATCGCTGAAAACGATACCCTGGTTGGTGGCACGTCCCCATATTCTTGGAGTGCAAGTTACGTCATCACCACCATGTTTGATGAAAATCACAAAGCATTCCTCATTAGTTTCTCTTGTTCAATCACCAACATGGCGGCGATAGCTTTGTTCTTTATTTCTCAGGGGATTCCTGGTCATGTGGTTGCACACCAATAGGGAATAGGGAATATAGGGGAGTACCCCCCTCCCCCCAGTAACATAGTAAATTTTTTTGTACAGTTTGCTTAGTGTGGTGAATCTAAAACAAAACAATGCCCACACACTCCCTCCCCCAACATAGTTACAACACAACATAGTTACAGCACAATAGTGTTCAATTGCAGTCATTTAATTATTGAATCTTTCTATAAATCAGAAAACTTCAGAGCCTTGTGCACTGGAGAGAAAGGATTTGGTTACAAAGGGTCTTCATTTCATCGTGTTATTCCTAGTTTTATGTGTCAGGTAAGGACTGAAAATACTTCAAATAAAACATCCAGTTACATGCAAAAGTCTAGAATGCAAATATAATATCTGTGGAGGAGRATTTCAATAGTACTAAATTTCAGCCAATCAGAGAATTGCAACTMGTTTGAATACACTATAGACT